GGGGGGGGGGGGGGGGGGGGGAATCACGCTTTTTAAAGTTTTTTATTTTTCTAAATTCTAAATTTTCTGGCCCACAAGTCCTTTCTCATCTAGACAGTTCTGCCACCCCCTGTAAAAACGTTTGGACACGCCTGGTATAGATTTAATGAATAGTTATATCTGTGTCTATCTTTGTCAAGGTGGACTTTGGTTTTGCAAAGGAGATGGTGCGAGGTGAGAAAACGTATTCTTTTGTGGGTACTCCTGAGTACATGGCTCCAGAGATCATCAAGAATCAGGGACACGACTTTGCAGTTGACTTTTGGTCCCTTGGCATCCTGATCTTTGAACTTCTGGTGGGAAGGTAATACCATTTAATTAGATTTATGTCCCAAAACATATTTAAGCTACCATACACACTCAGGTCTTTTTTGTAAATAAGTCCCTGAGGCTCAATGGGATTAACCTGTCTAAATAAATGTTGAAAGAATGGGGGAAAAAATACACACATTTATAAATGCTCTTGACAATTTTTTTAATGCCACAAAGTGTTGTAGTTTTAACATTGACCAGCAGGTGTCAGCAGAGATGTTTGCTACTACATTAGTTTCCCTGACAGATGGACTGGTGAACTTTTACATAGGACTTACCGGCAGTTTTATAACAAAATCTGCTATTTTTTATATATATTTATTTGCCAGCCCTCCATTTTCAAGCTCCGAGCCCCATAAGATTTACACCAAAATCTTGGACGGGGTGCTAAAGTTTCCACCTTACTTGAGTGAGGCAGCCAAGTCTATCATCAGTAAACTGTGCAGGTAAGAAGACTTCAACCTAATCATCAGCCTGTAGAAGAAGAAAAAGCTAACTATGAATAATTTCTCATAAATTGGAAGTGGACTGCACAAATTTGAAGTTAATGCATTTCATTCAGTCGTCTCAGGGCGAAGCATGAATTATGAATCATGCCTGCAGACCAAATCATCTCATCACACTGAGATGCTCCTGCAATTTTATGTATTTATTTATTAGATCTTGAAACTGGTGGCTCGGGACGTGTTTGAGTGGCATCTCATCTCTTTGAATGCTGTTTTATTTAGTTAAATTTTTTTGCAGGCCTCGGCCTGGTCAGAGGTTAGGGAACACCAAGAACGGGATCAAAGATGTCCGGCATCACAGGTAACCATGGCAACATGTCATCCATGTGGGGCAGAGACTAGATATATAAATAAAATAAATAGTTTCTTTGTTCAGTCACTCTCCACTGCCTATGTTGTTCAACAACCACTAAGCTGAGAGTTCATTCATCATCCAACAGAGTGAATATTTATTAATGTGTGATATTTTATATGATACATTTACATGTGGCTGATTTATAGGTTTTAAAAATAGAGCCTTCCATTAATATAAATTTGTATCTGATGCATTTTGTAATTGCATGCTTTTTCGGTATGAATCAGTCTTGCAGTCTATTTATTTATTTGTCTTTGCAGTTTACATCTTGTGATTGTTAATCAGTTTGGATAGAGTCATCTGGATTTTTTTACAGGTCAGCAGTGTAAAATGTTGTTTTTTCTTTCAGGTGGTTCAGCAGCATGAACTGGCACAAGCTGCGCATGGGTCAGCTTGATGCTCCAACAGTACGACTCGTACGCAAGGTGAGTGAAAAGCACGATTTCTCTGGTTACTTTTGTTTACCGGGAAAAAAGTCTGAGTTACGGATTCACCGGAGAATTCTTTGGGTCGTCTTTTGGATCAAATTTTAAAAAGTTCAGCAAGATTACTGGAATCTATTTGACTAATCCCACTAGTTTTGAACAAAATGTCAGGAATTATTCGTAAACAGTTTCACAATTGCTCTTTTTGGATTTTGTTGAACATCAAAACAAATCAAATGAAACATCAAAGTCCATGCTCAATAATGCAAGTAAAAATCCAACAATGTTCAGTCAGGTCACCTGGACGGTTTCTTTTATTGCTGAGATGTTTCATCCTTCATCCAAAGGACTTCTTCAATCTGCGGAGCCACCAAACAAACTGATTCCCACAAACAGGGAGGAGTTGACAGGGGAGAGGGAGGGCCCGGAGGCCATCTTAGCACCAGCAAACTGTTTTTTGTTGTTTTTTTTACTATAGAGTATGCTGTTCGTGGGAATCAGTTTTAATGGCTCTTCAGATTGAAGAAGGCCTTTGGATGAAGGATGAAACGTCTCAGTAAAAAAAAAAAAAAGTCCAGATGACCTGACTGAGCATTGTTAAATCAAATTAAACATTTATTTAAATAAAGTTAAATGAAAAGTGCCCTACTGAAGATAAAGAATAAATGTACCGTATTTTTTGGATTATAAAGTAAACCGGATTATAAGGCGCGCATTAAGTGAAATAAGTTCATTTTGACAGATTTTTGAGCGCCGTGTACCACATAAAACTGGTTCGAGGTCATTAAGCACAACCAGAATTAATTCACAAGGCTCACTGTCGATTTTTGAGAAACTTCAAGGATTTTAAGTGCGCCTTATAGTCCGAAAAATACGGTATTTATTTTTAACCTTTACATTAAGAACAGTTATTTACAGTGTCAGAAGGCACTTAAAAATATAAGAAAATAAAACAAACTAGAGAAAACCAAGAACAATTTAAACATAACAAGCATAATACACAGTAATGAATTACAAAAGGACAAACAATTGACAGCAGGGATGATGAATGTATAAATGGGCTGAAAACGCCACATCAACGCCATTTTATTAACATGTTTAAGAATGAATGCTGCTAAAAAAACTTTCAGTTTCTAATTCAACTATTTATTTTTTAAGGACTAAAACTTTTTTACATGTAATAAAAGGTACTCAAACCAGATAGAAGTCTGATCTGTAATTCTGACTAATTTAAGCCTCTACCACTTACAAACATGTGTCAGTGACTGTTTACCACTTATTAAAAAATAAAGTAGCATTCTTTGAAGGAATACATTTAGATTGTTTGTGTTTGCCATGTTTGATGAGCTCTGATAGCTTCATGATTTACTCCCAAAATCACATAATGTAATGTAAATGTACATCTATTTATTGCTTCTTGAGAGGTTCATTAAAATCCATCTACTGGTTCACGGGATATTTTGCTAACAGCTAACTCACGCAGAAACAGCTCTTATTAATAGACAGCAATAAGAACATAAAAATCAGGAGCTTTGTCTATTGTGTTATGTGTAATTTGTGTAACAAAGTCTTGTATAGCATAAAGCCAGACGAGGCCCATCTGTAGGTCCTGCTTGAACAAAATCTTCATCTTTTTCAGGGTCCGTGCTACATCAACTTCGATCAGTTTCCTCAGGACCACACGAAGGCCGACGAGGAGTTCTCCGGTTGGGACTGCGACTTCTGATTCTCATTTGGGTTCTGAAATCAACGCTTGAACACAGTTCGCGCTGAATGTCATTAAAAACAGACGACGCCGCCGCGCGCCTTAAAACGTTCTTCACAGCAGTTAATAGTGAAAATGCAGGGAGTCCCTTTGACAGCATGCACCGAAGCTCCTGGGTGCCGCTCGGAAACGTGCAGCAGGTGTGAAGACGAGCTGTGAGGAGAGCGTGTCATAAGATTCGGCGTGAGAAGATTTGGTTCCTGACAAAGACGTGTCAAAGCATAATGCTGTTCAGTGATCATAAAAACACCACTCAGCAGGTGAAAAACTGAAAGCGCATGATTTTAGCATCAAGAAGCTAATAAAGTGAGCGTATTCTTCTGTGTTCCTTGTTCTTTTGAACGAAAATACACGGGTCACGACAAAGCTGCCAGTTGATTGAATATTTATAAAGATGTTTATTACAAACCCTCATTTTGTTGAGTCGTTCGTGTTTTGATCAAAGTGTCAGGAATCATCCTGATGGAGACGTTTGTGTGATTCAGTAACAGCTTCCTTTGTTCTTCCACCATCCAAGTCCAAACTGTGAACAGGTTGCTGCGATCAAATCTTTAATCCAGCAGTGGAAGTATTTGGACGCGTCGCAGAGTACAACACAGCAGGAAAATGGACTATAAGGAGCGTAACTCCCGTTTTTGACAATAGTTGCAGCTGATTGTTTAGCTCCGGAGGCGTGCAGCTGTGTGGTGCGGCAGCAGGAAGAAACCGCCGTGTTCCTCATGCGCGCTCTGTGCCTGCTAGAAGTAGTTTTCCACATTAGAGAGCGCAACTTTGCGTGAAAGTAAACAGATTTTCTGAAGGGAAAAGACGCACCAGCAGATGTTTCCTTCCTGGAAAAAAAAAAAAAGAGAAAAGGACACGCCGAGGTGTTGAACGTGATAATGACGGAAGAGGCCCAGAGGAAGCTCGGTGTGGAAGCTCGGACGCTGTTTGTGCACTGAAGTGTGGTTTCCTGTTCCTCTGCAGGTAGGATCCAGGTTTGCTCGTGGGAAGCCTGGTTTGTACCTGAGATGTTTGTGGCATGGAGTAAAGAGCAAACAGGATAAAGCTGTAAAGTTTAAGTGTAATTCTAGCTATAAACAAATTCCTCGAATCCACATTTCAGGAATTGTACCGGTAGTTCTGATTCAGAATTAACATTGTTCTGTTATTTTTTGTACAATTTTTATGGTCTAATTCTGCACACTTCATGCTAATTTAGCCACTCGTGTATCAAAACATTTGGTTTCTTCAGGAGATGGTTGACTTTTAGTTTTTTAAACTTTTATACGGGAAGCTTTTATTTTACACGTTTCCCACATAAATATTTTATCTCTTCAATCCTACACATGGATATGTTTTTGCTTGACTGATTTCTGTTGTTTTATGCTATGTTGTTTAGCTTTCAGCTAGCAGTTTACTACATTTAACATCCATCCATTTTGTTTTACTCTGATTAGTGTTATATTTTTCTCCGGTATTTAATTTCCTGTTTGGAGGTTTATTTTCGTGTTTATTTCTTCTGGTGTTTAGTTTCAGTGTTTTTCCCAGTTACCAACACACACCTGCACCTGTCTCATTAAGCTCAGTCTGTCCCACCTCCTGTTTAGTCTCAGTCCATAACCCCCGCCCCACCACCACCACCACCACCACCAAAGTTGCATTCGGGCCTAAAAAATCCGAGCCTGACCTCAAACTGACCAAGTAACTTTGATTACAGACCCGAACCCGAAAAAAAAAAAAAAGACTTTTTTTTTTTAATTAAACGTTTACTGCTTTTGTAAGCAAATCAGTTTGAAACGATTTAAAAACATATTTCAAAGAAAGGAAGATATAATATTTCTTGTTTATTTACAAGAGTCAGTGGATTATTATAGTTATTATAAAATTATAATAATAAAATATATGGCTGAAGCTTCAGTTGGGTCGCTGTCAGTGATCCATCTGGACTGGTTTTTTTGTACCTCTTTCAACCGGCAGGTCAAACACCTGCATTCACTCAAGCCTTGTGCACTTTATATGTCATGCCTGGTTTCCTCTGTGCCTCCTATAGCACAAACCCAGAGATTCTAAGTATGCAGCAACGCCAACCATTTTGTTTTGTCTTAGAATAACATTTATTTTGTTTTTGAACACGTCAAGTCTGTCTGCATGTATGGGTTCAAATCCTTATGAAACTGTGACATTTAACTACCTTTCTGCTTCTTTTTGTTTTCAATAGGCCTTATGCTACTACTTTGTAGATCTTATTACTGTTTTTCTTTTACATTTTATTGTTGGATGTAACTGGGACCCTGTGCACAAAATTTTGTTCCACCACATGTACCACATGTGGTGTGAATGACCAATAAAGAAACTTGGAGTTGAGTTATTCTTTTTACTACTTCAGTTTTGGATTTTTGTAGCTTCTTTATTGCCCGTTCATACTTATAGTTACCCTTTTGCTCTTTTTTTAGCTTTTAGCTGGTGTTCTGCTTCTTTTATCTTTAACAACTTCATGTCAGCGTTGTCAACAAATTTCAGCCGAGTCATTGAGGACTCGGCATTTATGCTGCATTTTATAAAGAACGTGCAGGTTTTCTGGTTCCTTGTGATTTTCATTCACTCTTAAACTCAAGCTGCTTTGTTTTAGGTGAAAACTAGAGATAGTGAGTTTAAAACAAGTGTTTTTCTTTGATTACAGTGATCGAGTCTGTCTGGATTATCAGAGAAACAACACTTTCCTTGTAGATGCTTTAACCATCTCTGATTGATTCTTCACCTTTTCAAAATGTTGGATAATATTTTACATAAAAACACAGGTCCATCAAGGATGTTGTGATAATTTAATGTTTTAAATGTGTGTGTGTGTGTGTGTGTGTGTGTGGGGGGGACTTTTTTTTTTGTGGGATTTGCAGGGACCTCTGAAAAAACACTTCTCTGTCAGAACTTATTTTTCCACCACAGAAAGCCCCTGAAAACTAATTAAAGTTGGATCAAAGTGTTATAAAATACAGTTTTGATTAAAAAAAAGAAACAATAAGGAGGGAAAATATCCAGACAAAGCTTTGCAAAACAAAGAGGATTAAAATTTCAACCAGATCTTGACGATCTGCAGCAACTGACTGACTGTCACTGTTGTTCTGCTGGGAATCATTGTCTAATGCAGATTTTTCCAATCAGTCACAACACTTCATTTTCTACTAGTTTTAGTTTCCAAAACTTTTTCCATGAATAAGAACTCGGATAAAAGTTATTACATCAACATCTAATTGGAGTATGTTGAGAAGAAGTTGAACAAAGGCTAATAATAACTAGAACTGGAATAATGCAGGTTCCTCTTGTAAATGAGTCCTCGTGGCTCAGTGAGACTAGTCTGTATAAAGATTGAATGAGAAAGAACTGTAGCATGAGAAGAGGGCCTGGTTGATGCTGACAAACAGAGACGGTCTCAAACATAGAGATGAGTGTTCGGAGGAGAGAGTCTGAAGACGACTCCATCTCCATGACTACAGATGCTCCGCTCTTCACTTCTGGCAAATTTGATATGCACAAACCAGAACGCCAGCATGGCAAAGCCCTCCTGAAGCCAGATTTAGAGCCCAGAAAAAATATTTCTGCTGCTGCGAGGCTCAAACCAGTTGCTGTGCAAGCACGCGTGGCAAAATATTTAATGTAAGAAAAGAGAAAAACGTGACCAGCATGGACTTACACAGGTTTTGAGGAACAGTTGGAGCTTTCTTGGAAATGTTTTCGGCACGTGTACTTGTCTCTGTGTTGTTTCTGAACGTTTATAGCCTTAAAACAATGTATAAAAGACGATGAAGATTATAACAATAATAATAATCTTTCTTTTTTATTCAATCTTTATTTATACAGGTTAATCCCACTGAGCCTCGGGGACTCATTTACAAGCGAGACCTGTTTTTTTTTTAACAAAGAGTGATGACAACAGTAGACAACAAAAGACAAGCATAAAGGATGCGTACAAAGTGAGAGTAACAAGTGAAAATAAAATGGTTTTTAAAAGCAGAAGTAACAAAAAAAAAAAAAGAACTGCTAGGTTGTAAGGCGATGTATAAAACTAAAAACAAGAACATGTCTGCATTGGTTTTTTTTCCAGGAACTTAAGAGATGTTTAAAGCCACTAAGAGAGGTCAAAGTTGAGAGCTTCAGATCTTTTTGCAAGATATTCCATCATAATTAAGGATGCACGATATTGAATTTTCGGCCAATATTTGATATGCTGATATGTTAAAACTTATTTGGCGGAAAACCGATACTGATACCGATATTTTATATACTTTCCTTTGTCAGAACATAGTCCTCTTATTTAGGCTTATTTGCTACAAAAATTGTGCAACAGCTGTAAGAGCTGGTGACATATATTCAGTAACAACCATATGATATGCAAAGCACTTTAACTTATATTAAATGAAAAGTGTTAAATGTTATTTATTAGCATTAGTCACCTGCGATGCTGTCTCACTTGTGGAGGTTTGTTCCAGGTTCCTAGCTGCAGTGTGGGATCCTCTGCACTCCTGTGCATGAAGGACAGACTTTTTAAGATCAAAGTTTTTTCTATCCATTGTGCCGTAAGACTAATCATGCTAACAGGGCTAACACGACGTCCAAATGTCTGTGGTAAAACTCACCCAAGTGCTATCTGTTATTAGCTTCTCAATGACGTCGGAAATGACGGCTTGTAACTCGGGTAAGGCTACTTCGGAAAAAATATATCTGACTGGGGACGAGGTAGCGAGGCTCAACATAGTCCAAAAATTTTCAGAGTCTGACATCCTCAATGAAAAAAAACCCTTCCACACGGCCGACATTTTGAATTTTCCTCTCTGCTGTGATCAGATCAGTAGGCGCGCGTAATGTCATCACGTTGTGCTGCCGCTGCAGGCATCCTTATCACTGGGTTGTCATACAAAAACAGTGTAGCTCCTATCCACTTGAATATCTTACACCAGAAACATTGCTTACTTGCATTCCCTGTT